GTGCCTTAGTTTCCATATCTGTAATGAGGATGGTAATAATTACTTAGTAGGGCAAATGTATGTGTGTCTATTAGGTCCTGTGCTGGCACATAGCAACTGTTATACAAAGTGGTAGCTATTACTATTACAATCTTAACTAGTCTTCCAAGCTCTAGATTTGTTGACTATAATCCATCTTAAATACTATTTCATCAGGTCCCTGTTCTAGCTCTTCACTGCTTCTTAAATAAAGTTTAAATCTAAAATCAAGGGTCCTTTCTTCCTTATGCTTGAATACAGAGCTGCCATGTCACCCAACTACAGGGAGCACCACTGATTGTCACATATCAAAATTTCCCTATACACGCTTTGTGATACTTCATTGAGCTGTATACTTTTCATTTTTCTGTGTTGTTGTATGCTTTTTAAAAATTTTTTCTGGGTGCAGTGGCTCATGCTTCTAATCCCAGCACTTTGGGATGCCAAGGCAGGAGGATAATTTGAGGCCAGGGATTCAAAACCAGCCTGGGCAACATAGTAAGACCTTGTCTCTACAAAAAAACTTAAAAAAAGTAAGCCAGGCACGGTGGCTTATGACTGTAGTCCCAGCTACTCAGGAGGCTAAGGCAACAGGATCACTTGACCCAGAAGTTGGAGGTGGCAGTGAATTGTGATCACACCACTACACTCCAGCCTGGGTGGCAGAGCAAGACCCTGTCTCTAAAAAAATAAAAATAAAAAAGTTTTTAAAAGTTTACAAAAATCTCCCATATGCTATACACATCAGTGTTAAGTTTGGAGTATCTTTCCAGACTTTTAAATATATATACAATTTTTTTTAAAAAGTACCTTCTATATACTACAGCATGTACCTAACAACATATGGAAGGATAAAAATGTTGGTAAACTCAACCCAAAAGTAATGTACAGTCATCACCAAAAAACCCTGCTATCCATCCTCAAGTGACTCTTCAGCATGAGAAACCACCATAAATTAACAGAAATCAAAGCGCCTCAGACCTGTGAAAGTACAGAAATAGACAATGGCTACTCTGACTCTGGAGGAAAAAGAAACCATAGAAAAGGCATCCAAACTCCTAAGGTTAGTAGGATGAAAATAAAAATTTAAAAAACAACAACAAAAAAAAGTTAAAACACCACCACCACAATATTCGGAGAACCCATACAAGTCAGAAAAAAAGAATCCCAAAACACAAATCCATAAGGCCAGCTGAATGAGATGATATTCAAAATGCAAAAGTAGAATGTAGTTAATAAATACGTGGCTATAAGTAACTTCAGAATTTGAAGGTCAGCTGCTGAGATTAGACTAGGAAAGCTTCAAGTTAATGAATTAGTATGAATAAATTTAACCACCTGCAAAAGTAACCCACCCTAAGAAATGCTCTGTGAATAAATTCATGCCTGAAGAGACTAGGAAATATCCAAATAAAATCAAGGTGATCAGAGAGTGTAGTCTCTGAAATGCATGACTGATGTTAAAAAAAAAAAAAAAAAACAAAGCAAGGTATAATCCAATGAAATGTATGGAATGTAAAGACCCTAGGTTAGAAAGTATTCCAATCACAAAGGTATGTTTCATTTTTGATATTCATGAACTTTTGTCAGTGTGAATATATTACCCCTGAGGACTACCCATTTCTTTTAATCCAATCCCATGCTAAGTAACCCTCTGATTATAATTTGGTCTACACAGGAGCCTTGATGTACAGAAAAGAGGCGTATTTTGTCTCAAAAAGGTGTTATCCCTACTGGGAACCCTGGTGAGAACAAAAAATCCTTCCCACCCTATAACATCCACTTGAGTGCATTCTAATTGCTCAACCACCAAATACCACTAATCTGCCATTTATGGCAAGTAGTCTCTGTATATTGCTGTTAGGTCTACTCTGCTAGACTAAGTTCCCTAAGTTTCCCTTAGAGCAAAGATAATCAACAACAAATATTACACATTTACTACATGTTCTAGGTGTTGGGAATACACTGCTGAACAAAAAGTCAAAATCCAAGTCCCTACAGTTCCATTCTGATTGGAGAGAGATAAAAATACAAAAAATCAGGTAATTATAGATTATATTAGAAGGTGATAAGTGCTAGGAGAACATAAAGCAGGAAAAAGGGGCATGTCAAGGGGAGTGGATTGTAATTTTAATATGGTGTTTAGGGTAAGCATCATTGAAAAAGTTAAAAGTTAGCGAAGACTTTAAGGAGACCGACTCCTAAATTTGAATCATAGTTCTACAGCTTACTACAAGGTAAATCTGGGCAAGTTATTTAAGCCTCTGTGTCTGTTTTCTCATCTGCAAAACAAGGATAATCATACCTATCTCATAAGGTTATGAGAACTGAGTTATTATTTGTACAATACTTGAAACGCATTAAGTACTACAAGTTCTGAGATTTTGTCTTTTTAGTTTAAGAAAAAAAAAAAAAACCTAAAAGTAAGTAAAAGAATGGGTCATGCAGATATCTAGGGAAAGAGTATTCCTGGCAGAAGTAAATTAAGTGGAAAGACCCCACTATTCAAGGAGCAGCTAGATCACCACGGCTGGAACGGATTGGGTTTTTTTGTAAAGAGGTAGAAGAGGATGTCATTATAGCGATAAAGGGAAGGAGGCAGAAAGGCTAGGGTTGCTCATAAACTTTTTAACTTTTACTTATTTAAGGAGTCACCAGAGAGTTGTTGTTGTTGTTTTTGAGATGGACCCTCGCTCCATTGCCCAGGATAGCGTGTCATGGCGTCAGTTTAGCTCACAGCAACTTCAGACTTCTGGGCCCAGGTCATTCGCCTGTCTCAGCCTCCCAAATAGCTGGGATTACAGGCTAATTTTCCTATTTTTAGAGAGACGGGAGTCTTGCCCTTGCCCAGGCTGATCTCGAACTCCTGACCTTAAGTGATCCTCCACCTCAGCTTCCCAGAGTGCTAGGATTACAGGCATGAGCCACCGTGCCCAGCCTAGTAGAGAGTTTTTGAGCAGAAAAGTGATCAACTGTTTTCACTTTTAAAAGAATCGCTGTATTGAGAACTGACTGTTGGAGGAGGGAAGAGCATAATATAATATATATGGTGGAATACAGGGAGGCCAATCAAAAATCTATTTTAATAATTCACACAAGAGATAATGGCCTGAACCAGCATGGTAACAATGAAGGACAGGAGAAGTAGTCTGACTCTGAAAATATTTTCAAAATGATGTCAATAGAATTTGCCAAAGCACTGGACATGAGGAGTCAAGAATGACTCCTCATGGGAAGAGTTTCCAATGAGAAACTGGAAAGATGGAATGGCCATTAACTAAAACTGACTATGGTCTTAATAGCTAACAATGACTAAGTCCTAACTATACACCAACTATTCAGCTAATCTCTTTACATGCATGATCACACTTAATCCTCACTTTTTATGTGGTGGGTATCATTCTGTTCAACAAGTGTAGAAACCTACCAATTGTTGGTAAGATGAGATTCAAACTAACAGTTCTCTTAAGAACCTATATACTTAACTAGTATTCAATACATCATTATGGTCACAGGATCTAGCATTATTCTGAATATTATAATCAATATTTATTGAAATAATTAGCTTTCCAGGACACAGGTTAATAAGTGACCAAGTCCAGTGCAGAAGTGTTTGGCCTCTCCAGATCTCTGCCAATTCCTGCACATGACTGAGAAACAAATCCTGAAAATCAGGAAATTACTTGTCTTTTCAATTCAGAACCACAACTTCAGAGATTGAAGGGACTTAGTCTTTTAACCCATTCCCCTTGGCAGAGAAGCAACCAGAATGGGGTGGCCACAGGAGACACTGACAACAAATTTCATATAGCGATCTTAATACAAGACCATAATAAAGTACCTTAATACAAGACCCTAAAATCGTCTGCCGGAACTAAAGAGGACTAAGCTTTGTCATTCCCACCACACATCTCCCCTTAGCCTCTCATCCTGATTTCCCAGCTCCCAATCCTCTCTCCTGTCCTATTTTTCCTACTCCCATGCCTACCCTCACTCTAACATCCTCACTCCAACTAGACTGTATTATCTGCTGCCTTAACTTTACTAGTGTTGCATACTCAACTTCTCCAACCTTTTGTGAATGTTGTCCCCTCCACCGATGCCTCTTTAAGCAGCTGGGGGGGGCGGGGGACTGGAGAGGGTCTCTCCCTTAGCATTAATTCAGCCCATCAAAAATCCTATCTGTGCTTCTGACCTAGGAGAAGCACTTCTTTCGAGAGGACTCAACCCGCTTGCTAACTTCCCCTATAGACACTGTTTGTAACTGCAGCATGATATAACAGAAAGGGTAGGCTTGGGGAGGCAGACAACCTAAGTTCCAATTTTAGATCTACCACTTACTGGTTACCTTTTTGAGTCCGTTTCTTCATCTGTCCAACAGATATCATAACTATGCAAAGGGTTGTTATTTAGCTTAAGTGAAGAGAGAGTACATGAAATGTTGGTCTTCATCCCTGCACATTATGCAACCTGGTATTATTCACTGCGCTCTTATTACGGAACCCCTTGGATCGTAAATGAAGGTCAGAGAACCTGGACCACAATCTATCCTCGTACCCCCTAAAACGTTTATTACGCAAACGGTCAGCAGTCAGTGTGCGTTGCCTGCACTGGTTGATGAGAACCTAGGGCAGGAGCCCGGGCGATCGGTCAGGGAGGTGGGGGCGGGGGCAGCCCAAACAACCACAGCTGGGCCCCGAACGGCACTTCAGCTCCGGCGGGCTTCGGTTTCCTCTTGCGTAAAAGTAGGTGGTAACCAACTGCTTAGACCTCTACCAGTCAGCTCAATCTCTCCGACCCGACCCACACCCCTGGGGCTCTGATCTCAGAAGCCTTCCATTTTACTTCTCCTCGATCACACTCCTCCCCCATCAACTGTCACCCCGACCTGCGCCGCCCACCTCCCGACCCCTCCGGGTGCCTGGCCGCTGACAGTCCCCACAGGCACCGCCCGAAGGGGCCCGCCTCAGGCCGGTACTCACGCGGGCCACGGCCGCTGTGACGGCGGGTTTCTGCGCGGCGCCGGCCGATCGGAGCCGCCTCCGGCCGATCTGCTCCAGGCTGAGGAACTCGCTGGACAGGTCCAAGGAGTCCGAGGCCGAGGTGGCGGAGTGGCCGTGTATCTCCAAGCTGCTGCGGTGGACCACCATCTTCGGTCCAGGGCTGTCTCAGCGTCAGCGGCAGGAGAGGGCCCGAGCTCTGGGCGGCAGCCGCTCAGGCTCTTCCGCGCTCCGAATTCTGGCGCCACAAGCTCCGCGCCAGCGGCCGCAGCGCGCGCGCCCGGAATCCCTCCGCCTTCTGTCCCGCCCACGCCGCCACCCTAGAACGGTGGACTCGAAACTCTCCTCCCATTTGCAGAGCAAGGGAGGCCGCGCCGAAGGTGAGAGGAATACATGCCGACAGCGTCGAAGACCTGAGCGGACAGTAGGGAGAGAACGCTGACTTCCTTTCCCTTATATAGTCCTGGCTCGCTGAACTCGGCGGACGGAGACGGCAGAAGCGGTGCGAAGTCCCGTTTGGAATTTTGGCGCGTGGACGGCGGAGGGGGAAGGGAGACCTCCGCCCGCTCTGATTGGCTGGCGGGGCTTGGCGTCTCCTCCCCGCCCCTCCCGACACCTGCGTGCTCCTTCCCGCCATCTAGGATTCAAATGCAAAACGTCCAGTCCTTGACTGGAGGGTAATAAAGCACTTGGCCTTTGACAGGTTTTGACTTTGAGCTTTAAGAGCTTTTTATTGATGGTTTAACCAAAACAAGTTAACTACCAAAAAGAAAGAAAACAAAAGGAGCTAAAAGCGAGCCAACAGAATGTATAGTTAAGGACGCAGCTCCCTACCCGGCTCTGCCATATCCCACGCAGATGATCTTAAGCAAATTGTTCATCTCTAGGGCCGGGCACGGTGGCTCACGCCTGTAATCCTAGCACTCTGGGGGGCTGAGGCGGGAGGGGAGGATTGCTCAAGGTCAGGAGTTTGAGACCAGCCTGAGCAAGAGCGAGACCCCCGTCTCTACTAAAAAATAGAAAGAAATTAGCCGGACAACTAAAAATCTGTATAGAAAAAATTAGGCGGGCATGGTGGCGCGTACCTGTGGTCCCAGCTACCTGGGAGGCTGAGGCAGAAGGATCGCTTGAGCCCAGGAGTTTGAGGTTGCTGTGAGCTGGGCTGACGCCACAGCACTCTAGCACCGGCAACAGAGCAAGACTCTTGTCTCAAAAAAAAAAAAAATTGTTCACCTCTCCGTGTCCTGATTTCCTTATCTGGAAAATATCTATAATGATATTATACCCTAGAGCCGTGCCTACATATAAGTGCCCAATAAATGTTTGTTACCATCACAGATTTACAGAAAATGCTAAGATGACAGCATTTACTTGACTACTTTGAAATAGATAACATGCTGAATGATCAGACTGTGAGAGGAATCCTAGTGAAACAGACAAAAGCTATTGATTTGGATGATTGCAGTTCATTAATTCAACCTTTGTTAAATATTTATTGCGCATCTATTATGTGCCAGGTATTATTCTAAGCACTGGGAATGCAGCAGTGAGCAAAAAGAACAAAAATGCCCTCATTGAACTTAAATTCTAATGGAAAGAGAAAGATAATAAACTAAATAAATTTTTTTTTAAGTGGTTAATGCCAGGCCAGTGGCTCATGTCTGTAATCCCAGCTAATGGGGAGACTGAGGTGGGAGGATTGCTTGAGCCCAGGAATTGGAGGCTGCTTTGAGCTGTATGATCTTGCCACTGCACTCTAGCCTGGGCGACAGAGCAGAGATGCCAATCTCTTAAAAAAAAAAAAAAAAAAAAGAAGTGGTAGTGTTACAGAGAAATACAGGTAAGGAAGGGAAGCCGAAGAGAGCAATTTTAAACAGTGTGGTTAGGGACGGTCTTGCTGAGAAGTCTGAGCAGAGACCTAAAGGAGGTTAGATATATCTAGGAGAAGAGAGACGCAGGAAGAGGGAAGGGAGAACAGTGAGACTGATGAGAACAGAGCCGCTGGGAGAAGATCCTGCTGGGCTGTGAGCCTCAGTAAGTTTTTTGGATTTTATTATAAGTGGGATGAAAAGACATCAGAGGGTTTTGAATGGAGAAGTGATTTATTCTGACTTTCAAAAAGAATCCCTTTGGCTGCTGCATGGAGAAGGCAATATTTGAGGACATACTAAAAAAGCGTTTATTGTTTATCTGAATTTCTAATTTAACTAGACATCCTGCATTATTATTTGCAGTCTGGCAACTCTAGTTAGGACGCCACTGCAATTACCCAGGCAAGAGACAACGGTGGCGCAGACCAGTATGAGAGCAGTGGAGGGAATGAGAAATGTCAGATTCTGGGTATATTTGGAAGAAAGAGCTAAGTTAATTTGCTGATTAATTGCATATAGGGGTGAGACAGAGAAGTCAAGGATGACTCCAATTTTTGTTTTTTGTCTGTTTTGTTTTGTTTTTTTGCTTAAGCAAATGGAAAAATGAAGTTGCCTGCAACTGAGATGGGGAAGGTTAGGGTAAAGCAAGCTTGGGGAGAAAATCAGGTATTCCTTTCCATGTGCATTTAAGATCTGGAAATTGTTATATGTTCTAAACTTAAAATTTGGCTTTTAAAAAAGTTTTCAAACGTGTGCACCATGATATTTACTGCAACATTATTTATAATGCCAAAAAACTGAAAGCAACTTGAATATCCATCAGTGGGGCCTCATTAAGTTAATAGTAATGCTGCTGGGTGCAGCATTGCATGCCTATAGTCTCGGCTACTCCGGAAGCTGAGGGAGGAGGATCACTGGAGCCCAGGAGTTTGAGGACAGCCTGGGCAACATAGGGAAACCTATCTTTAAAAAAATAATAATTTATAAGAATGCTGTACAGTCATTAAAAGTTATGCTGTAATTCTGTTAATTTAATTACAGGATATAGAAAGTTGTACACAATGCATTGTAACTTGTTAAACTACAAAGAAATAGGTACTGTGTAGTTCCATCTTTGTTAAAAAATAAAGTATACATGTATTCTTGCATTGAAAAAGCCTGGAAGAAATGATACCTAATTGTTAACAGCAGTTAAATTTCTGGATGGTAATATTATAGTTGTTGTTTAGTTTCTTTATACTTTCCCCAATTTTTATGATTTTCTGCATGAATATGTGTTACTTTCACAATAGAAAAAAGCTTTACATGTTTAAT